TGACACCTGATGCTCAGCATCGCCTTCTCGGGCTGGCACTGGTTCTCTGGGGTCTCAAACAGTAAAACGTCTTTCCCAGTACCTGCTCCCTATGACTAAAGAGGCCAGGGATTGAACCTGGGTCCCTTTGCATGCAATGTGTCTGCTCTGCCGACAAGCCATTACCCTTTTCTTCGCAAACATGGTTCATGTGACGCTGCCTTACCAAGTCCAGTCGTTGCTCCATCCTGCTAAGTATTACCTGCTCTGATTGGCAGTAACTGTCCTGTGTCTCAGGTGGAGACAGCTTTTCCCCGACCCCCGTTTCCTGAGACCTTTTATCTGCAGATGTTGGAAATGGAAACTAGACCTGCAGAGAAGGTGCTTTGATACTGTGTCACGGTCCCTCCCTTCTGTGTCTCCATTTTGGAGGGGGAAGCCAAACAGACAGTATAATATCTCTTTCTAATGTTCAGTCCAGGTTTAACCCATTCTAAATATATGACAGTCCTACTGATGTTAGCGGAACTTGAGCAATGATCAAAGAGGGCTTTGCTTCCCGCACACAATGCAAAATGGCCAAGTGAGCTTATGTTCTACAGTTTGCTTTATATTCTTGTTTTGTGGGCCCACTCTAGTGGATACCGAACTGTCAAATCAGATAGTCTGCCTGGGACATGCTGTCTCCTACCCTTGATCCAACCGCTGAATGTGTGTCTTTGTGTTCTAGTTGAAGATGAAGAAGAGACCATTGAAGAGCAAGAAATGAAAGAAGGGAATGTAAACCATCAAATTGAGCTGTCCAATTTGGCCAAGGAAGGTGGGTACACACAAACGTCTAGACATGTCCGTCTGTGGTTTGGAGGGGCCGTGGCTCAGTGGTAGAACATCCACTTGGCATGCAGAAGGTCCCAGGTTCAATCCCGAGTGCCTCCAGCTAAAAGCACCGGGCAGTAGGTGATGTGAGCAGGGGTCGTTTCGTAGAAAAAGAGCTAAGGGAACTCATTAGCATAACTCATTAGCATATGCCACACCCCCTGACATCAGGGGCCCGGCGGTGGACCTGCAAGGCCGGCGGGAGTGCGAGGAAGCCCCACCAAGGCCCTCCCTGGCCCCAGGCAGGCAGGGGTGGGGAGAGGCAGGGAGGAAGCAACTTACCCTCCCTCTTCTCAGGGGGCGGGGCTTCGTCATGTGCCCCGCCCCCTCGTACCTCACCTGGGGGAACTGCGATCCCCTGCGATCCCCCCCGAAATGACCTCTGGATGTGAGAGACCTCTGCCAGAGACCCTGGAGAACCTCTGCCAGTCTGAGTAGACAGTACTGACTTTGATGGACCAAGGGTCTGATTCGATATAAGGCAGCTCCATGTGTTTAAACGTGAAAGGATGTGATGGTTATTGTGGGCTTCTGGATCCTCCAGCCTTTCTTTAAGCTTGTCTCTGTCAGACTCCTGCAGTAATCCGTTCCCAACAACTTTCTTGCCAAGAAGTAAAGTTTATTGAAACATTGAAGCATGGAGATTGCCTTTACACATCTCGTGTCGGAACTGCAATAAGTGTGTGAAGCAGGCAGATATACATAATTCAAGAGGGTCCCCCGATGGCCTGGAGCCAATCACGGAACAGGTAGTAGCCCGCCAAAGCTAATGGCTCCAGTTTCCCTGGAGAAAGCTGGTGCTAGACACCAAGGCCAGACACTCGGGTTACAGAGAGAAAGAAACACTGAAGGCCCAGAGAAAGACCTGAAATTCCAGAGGCAGTGAGATCTCAGGCAGGGCCTTGCCCTTGCTGCCTCAGGTTCAGTGCTGCTTTTGAAAAGTGTTTGCCTTGGAATAGAAGGGAGAGGCGGTGGTAGAGAAGGGCTGGCCCAGGAGGACACCAGGTTCCTTGCGGCATCCAAGTGGTTGAGAGTAATAATTGTGTGCCATCAAGTCGTAGCCAATGCACGGCAACCCCTCATGGGGCTTTGAAGGCGAGAGTTGAACAGAGATGATTTGCCCTTGTCTGCCTCTGCATAGCAACCCTAGTCTCCTGTGGTGGTCTCTCATCCCGATACCGACTGTTGCTGACTCTCCTTAGCTTCCAGGCTTTGAAGAGATCTGGCTAGGCTGAGCTATTCAGGCTGCTAGTGCTAGTGGAGCTGCGGTGGCTCAAGTGGTTAAGATGCTGAACTGCAGGCTGTGGAAGGTCAGTAGTTCAGCAGCTCGAGACCCGAGTTGCCGCATGACGGAGTGAGCTCCCGTCTCTAGCAGCTCCTGCCAACCTAGCATTTCGAAAGCAAGACATTGCAAGTAGATAAATAGGTACCGCTTCGGTGGGAAGGTAACAGTGTTCCGTGCGCCTTGGTGTTTAGTCATGCCGGCCACATGACCACGGAAACGTCTTCGGACAGCGCTGGCTCTTCGGCTTTGAAACGGAGATGAGCACCGCAACCCTAGAGTTGGACTTGACTGGCTTTCGAGCAAGGGAACCTTTACCTTTACCTTTACATCCCAATACCGACTGTTGCTGACTCTCCTTAGCTTCCAGGCTTTGAAGAGATCTGGCTAGGCTGAGCTATTCCGGCTGCTAGCAGTTGAGAACAAGGCATCTAGAAAGAGTGGGATTGTGACTCCCTCTCCTCTGGTTGGAAGTCACCAATGGAGTTCTTTCCTTGCCCCATTTAGGCCAGTTTGGCCTGGGATCCTGTAGGTTCCCCCACCCCCTTCTGGATATAGAGCAGAGGTCACTGGGTATGTGTGGGGGGGAGGTTTTTGTGAATCTCCTGCGTTGTGCAGGGGGTTGGACTAGATGACCCAACTCCATGATTCCGTGATTCACCTGGCATGTTTAAAAATATATATTCTGCCCTTCCCAGGAACCCAGGGAATCATACGTAGTTCTTTGTTCTGTTCTCTGAAGAAACTCAGAGAATCATACGTAATTCCTTGTTCTGTCCTCAGAAGAACTTTGTAGTACTGGTGCGGTTGACCAAGACCGGTCCAAGGCGATGCAGTGAGCTTCATAGCAGAGTGGGGATTTGAACTTGGGTCTTCCTTATCTTAGTCCAACGATCTAACCATGTCACCACACTGGCCTTGCCTCTGTAATGTCATGTCCTGCTCTATGGTAAACTTTAAAAAGCCTCATTTCATTTGAGATTTTTATGATGTTGGAATTTGATCATCAAAGCATCCTCGATAGCCATCAAAAGGTCACGTTTCCTCTCACTCTGTTTGGTGTACGGATTGTGCCGCCATCTCATGATTTCCTTTTGTATCACGTGCAGCTGAACTGCCTTTGGATGATTTGGTCAAGATGTATGAAGGCGCCTTTGCTGACAGCTTCCATTGGCCCCAGCCGAAGCGTGACAATGAGGAAGAGACTAGTGAAGAAGGTACCCACCGCCATGGTGTCTTGTGAGGAAGGTCTTTAGAAAGGCACTGACTACTCTGAGAAAGTGCACTCACTCATTGCTCATCTTGCACTTGCCTTCCTGGTTCCCTGTGGCTTTTGTTCATGTTCTTATGTCATTCTTGTCTGGATTCGCTGTCCTGGATTTAGTTTGCAGAATTCGTTAATG